AGCCGAACAGAAACGGATATAATGGGGATTGTCCAAGTGGAGAGAAGTACGGGAACAAAATCTTCTCGAAGCACTTGGCCACGCTGGAGTTGACAGTTGCTGGACAGAAATCACACAGCCCCTGATTTCTTCGGAATATGGATTAGGCGGGCGAACAGCCAGGATCTTTGAAGCTGCCCCCCCCCCAGTGTAAACACTAGGTGAAAACTGGCCCCAGTTCCATGGCAAAGTGTTTGAGCAGTGCACGAATGACTCCATCAAGATCTGCAGCAGCTGACGTGGAGAGAAATTTCCCACAGTAAGAGATGGAGCTTTGTCTTGATGAGTGCCATGATTATCCAATCACTCCCCGGTACGACGCGGCCATACGTTTCTCCTCGAATTTGAAGAAGGACTCATTTATGTTTGGTGACTTGATTATGGCATAAGCGTCGTACCATAAGTTAAGTGATAGAAAAATTTCTCAAATGGTACCAATTAATAGAGCTGTGAGGGTGACTGACATCACAACAACAATATATTTTCGTTGTTTAAGGTCAACTAAGAATAGCCGAGTCTTCAGAGCGTCTGACTTACAATCGAATGATCGTACGTCAGAATTCTACCCACGTAACTCTCCTTCTGATGTATATAAATGGGCCCCACTTTGTGGGAAAGAAATAGCAGCAGACTGTGTGGTGTAGTGGGAAATAAACAGTAGAAACTGCAGTCAGGAGCAACGTAGATTTCAAACAGAAGGAATCGCGGTGGAAACCAGCGCCAAAAACGAAAACCATAGGGAAGACATTTTTTACATCGTATAGACGTGTAGCAGCATGTGAATGGCCAAAAGCTTCCCCGGTTGTGACCACATCGAAGAAGATTTGAAAATTTGCCGTAATTTTGCTCATTACAGTGCTTTGAATAACCATAACGGCACTTAACTCAACTAACAACTGACTTTCGCCAGCCAATCATTCAGTTTCGATGACCGTTTATCCCTTGGGGTCGCGGAGGTACACGCGTCAGACAGTGCCTGCAAGAATCATGATCTTGTGTGAGCGACTGATCTCAGGCAGACGGTAAGTCGAGTCTGAAGTAGAAGGAGCTGAGGTACCTGTCTGAGGTCATTCGTGGCCGTCATCGGAATCTTCAGCAGGTCAGTTGGTCCTTTCTGAAGGCATTCGGGACACGTGCCCAAAACATCGCAGCTTTGACTCTTCAATCTAGAGATGCAGTGGTTGCAGACCGAGGATCTCTCAAATATCTGTTACACAGACCATATGGAAACGCGTCAACCCACCGATTCATCGCATGAAGCCCACTTCTGCCGCCGTAGCCGGGTTCGAAGATTTTTTACTGGTGGTCCACGACTCATGACCGTAGGAAAGCATGGGGATGAAGAGCGACTTGAACACCGACGGCTCAGTGTTCAGACTCGGCTCTGATGTAGTCACAATGGTTCGGTCTAATTCAGGCAGAATGTAGTTGACTTCTCCAATTCGCCCGTCGATCTCCCTCCCATTCACCACCCCCATCAGTAAGCACGAAGCCGAAGTAAGTGAACATCTCTACCTGTTTTCTTGCTTTTCCGTTGATGGCAGAGTGCACCGGAGAGAAGAACGAAAATGCACGAGGATTTTCGTTTTATACATGTTCATGTTCCCATGCATGACGACGACGACTCACTTGGCTGTGGGTCTTTCTAGAGAGCATTGGAGATCAGTTTCAAGGGATGAAGCCAAAACAAGGTCGTCTGTTAATAGGAACCTTCTCGTCTTAACATCTCCTGTGCTAATGCACTCGTCGCAGTATTTGTGACTGACTATGCTATCCATGAAACAAAAGAGTGCGCAGCCTTAACGGAGAACAGTGCCAACGTTGAAAGTTGACTCGACCTTTGCCGAATGGTCTGAAAGTGTCTCGACCATTTACTCAGACGCAAAGCATGCTGTAAACACACAGTGACTAGATGCCTCGTAGCAGCTGGCCACCGATGCCATGTATTTAATGGTACACCCATGGTTTATTGGGCGGGATCCCGTCATGGGCTTCTCCAGATCCATAACTCACGTGTTAACCGGAAGAGCATATTCCCTCTTCATCACAACTTGAGCATAAACAAGCAGTAAATAGACATCGAATAGAAAAAATTATTTTCAACGAACTGAATGACGATTTACATGGAGTCGTCATAAAATATATGGAAAGAGTCTGTTCCAGACTCCATTTGTCTTTTGCCGAAGCTCAGACTCTGGCACGGGATCGGGAACGTTGGAAGCTCTGTCTGACGTGTCTGCCTCCGCGACCCGAAAGGAGCAGCAGCGAGGGATGATGATGATGATGAGCAGAAAGAAATCAAAGTTGAATATTCCGATTTGTGCGGGTGAACAAGTTTGTTTGGTACATAGAGACCAAGACGACTCGAGAAAACATGTGATTACGACCAGAATTGTTGACCAGTACTATCATTGATAGTACCATCGCACTGTTGACCAGTACAGTAAAGAAATTGGGGAATTTCACTGCTTGGTGAATGACAAGTAGGAACTCTGGCGAAACCTGGCCCATCCACACAGCAATTGGTCGAGTGCAAATATTTCAAGCTAACGCTTTTCGTGTTGTTGAGAATATTGCGTTACAGTAAGTGGTGTCCCTGGCAAGGGGGACAGGAAAGAAAGATCAATGTGACCGCTGGAATGCCTGCCTCTTACAGATCCACGATTTGCACCATTTGTGGTACATCACTTTTCCGATGACACTTATAATGCTGCGCTGATGTCCATTTCCATGTCATCATTCAGGAGTGCCGTACTTAAAAGCAGTATGTCCACCTATATGGAAAAAGGTTCAGTGTAAACGGCTGCTTCCATTCCCAAAAACTGTTACTGCCATATGTATTTTGTGCACATTGGAGAGACGAAAGGCGAAACACCCAACGGTGGTTTAAACTCACATTCCTTGACTGTAGAAGAAACATTATTACGCAAAACAAGGCTACCAATGCAATCGATGAAGCCCAACGTTTATCATCTAGTAGTTGACCACTTACCATCTGGTTTCTGAGAAATTCAAGTTTTTCCGAGCTGTCCTTGAACGACGGACTGTTGCGAGAGGATCGCCGGGAAGTACACGACAACGAGGAAGACAACGACGAAGATGACGACGGAGTTGGAGACAGACTCGTTGATAGCTGCGGTTGAAGCAGCAAACTGGACAGCGCTGAGGCGGCAGCTGGAGACGACTGCAGCTTTGGCGGCAGAGTTCGGCTCTCAGAACTGAATGAAACAGCTCGCTCCAAGTTCGAGTTTCGAGACTGAGGCACAGAAACTGGCGGGGTGAGTTTCGAGGGCTGGGACGGAACAGCGATACCGTTGTGAGGGTCGATGTCCAGCACCGCGACTCGAGTGATGATCTTGCGGCGAGCAGGGCATGCAGACGGCCTCTGACGAAGAGAGCCAAACATCCAGTGCCAATAGTCGCTTCGGTCGTCGTCGCGCCGACCATCGGAAATCGAGTTAAGCGCGTCGGAGACGGACGAGGGACAGGGAGGACGAGTGGTTCGGAGTCGCTGGCTGCTGAAGCGGCAGTAATCGGCGGACGAGAAGCAGTTCGCGTCGTTGAGGGACGCGTTCCTCCTCAGCCGAGCAACGGCAAGCTTCGGAAACGTGCCATCATGGCCATCATGGCATTCATCATCCTGCCCATCCGTTGACGTCCAACATCCGAAAGACGTGCCGCGTGGCGGCTGAATTTTCGGGGGACGGTGATTGATGGAGCTCATCGTAGACGGTTCGACTGCGACGACGGCTGCTGGGTCGCCGCTGAACCGCATCGAAGCGGTTCTGTGAGAAACGCCGTTCAAATATCGATGGTCGTGCAGTCGGACCACTTGTCGGGAGTGACCACCTCCGTCGGTCATCATCGCATCACACATCTTATGGCCATGATTCACCGTCGAAAATGGACACTGTGTGACCGACTGGCGGCGGTAACGGTCACCTAGTTCTCTTGCCAGCACGCGACGGTCTTCTACCGGCATGACTCGCACGACTGGTGGACAGTACGGCCGGTGGGTGCCGTGCAGAAGTAGTATTCAATAACTGAAACGATCAACTACAGTGCTGGTATCGACAGGCACAATCGGCGGTAGACGACAGCGCAGCCAACAACAGCTTATCAGCCTCCACTAACAACACATGTTCTGCCGTGATCGATATAACAGGTTCCTACATTGCAGATGACGGTGGTACGAGTGGCTCGGATTAGGCGGAGATACGCAAGATAACCTCGGAGGAGAGGAGGCTTTGAACAGAAGAAATATGCACAAGTTCGATCGGAACTTGTATGTTGCCAAACGTCGGTGAGACACGATGATGTTTAGGATAGAAGAAGTAAAGTAAAAAGGCTTATGCGTGTGATATCCGCTTCCTGTGTGAGTCAGGGGGATCTTGCGGAAGGTGTGGACTTCTTAAAGCACCGAATATGAACCATCAACGTTTCCATGGCCTCTGTTGTCCCAAACGATTGGTTCGTCGCATGCACTCTATTCCTCTGATCTTCGCATAAATCTAATATCTTTTTTACTACCAGTGAAATATTTACATAGCATTTGACAGACTGCCCTAAATGAACGGTAAGATAAGATTGGATTTTTGAAGAAAAACTTGTCGACGCATCGCTGCACATAGTCGAACGAAAAGTCAAGACGGAAAAAACGTTTCTAGAGGTGGCTGCTTGTGGCAGACAAGCGAAACAGAACCGTATTGAGGAGAGTTTGAGGAAAACGCCTTGATCTTCAAGCATAATATACGACTAACCGAAAATAAAAAGAGACGCTTTAAGAGGAATTACAAAGATGGGAAAGAATTGGCACACAATTACTTCTCGCTCCCTTAAAGCCATTTTGTATTTCTTATCGCAGGTAGCGGATAATGGTTGAAGTAAGGGATTGCTTGCCGAGTGAAGTGAAGTAGGCGTGTACCCCCCCCCTTCGTAAACTCCGAAACGATTGGCAGACGAAGCTCTGGTGAATTATTGTGAACTCCTCATTGGCATTCGTAACGACCCCCTGGTTACTAAGCTTCTGCTACTGTTCGGGCGGAATATTAAACCTCCACCGTGGGAGCCAACGGCCGCCTTTGATTCACAGTGAACAGATGCTCATACAGCAGTATAACGCGACTGCTCTCTCGCGCTCTGCATCGCCCTTGCTCAACCAGAAGAACTACAAGAACTCAAAGCATTGCACCAAGGATTCCGCCCCCTGGCTCGTCAACTGATAGTCCAACGGCATTCTTCTGATTGGAACCTGATGATGATGGTGATGGCTTTTCAGTTAGGGAGGAAGTATCTTCCACTTTTGAGGGAGTTCTAAGCTGGAGAGTAAGTTCATGTATGGCAACAGAATGGTGAAGTTTCATCACTTCATCTTCAGCGTCAGAAGTGAAATCCAGCTCCTCGGTATGATTCGCTTCCTCGAAATCGTGAACCTCGACGACCTTCGAGGAATTCGTGAAGAAGAGACGGTAAACAGAAAAATCTGTTGCGGAGAGAAAATTTGAACTGCGTCCTGCAGCTGCATCCTTCGAAACGTTTTTGAAGAACAAGGTAGAAAACACACAAACGGGCGAGGCATCGGGCATCTTTAAACACTGCAATCTCAACATTCGAATATAGTGAGATTATGCTCG